TATTTATTATATATATATATATATATATCCTGACCATCCTGGATAACTTTTGATCTAATCACTAATGATCTGATCTTCACGTTCTAAGACTCAATCTTAATGGCTCGAGGGGTTGATCTCAATTTGCCAATTAATAAGTGTTGACGAGATTTTAAGTTAAGAAAGCAATCGCAAAAACGTACTTTCTCTGAATAAACATATCTTTTCGGATTCAGATTTCTGTCCCGGGGTCTGGGAAATATGGACCCAATAGTTTGATCAAAAGAGCGCTTCAAAGTTTAGACCCCTTAATGCTAATTTTGATTTTTTCGTACATTATATCTCTACAATTTTTTAAGCGAATTGAAAAATTTTTGCACACAATTATAAAATTCGTTTATCCAAAGATAATTCCATACAAAAATTAACTTTTAGTAAATAATTATTAAATTTTTAATTATAAGGTAAAAAAATTTTAACATCGTTTCAAGGAATGTAATGTTTCATAGCAAAATACAAAGTGTGAGCGAAATCGGTTGAAAAGTCCCTGAGAAGTTGAATTTAAAAAAAAATCGTATATTTAAAGTTTGATTTCTCAGGAACTATTCAACAGATTTCACTCAAATTTTATAGTTCGTCATGTAGAATTATATCCTTCAAAATGATGCAAAAAATTGTATACCTTACATTCCAAAATTTCTTCTACCTTTATTAAATAAAATAATAAAAAATAATAAATATTTGCTAAAATTTATTTTTTGCATAGAATTATCTTGGGATAAACGAATTTCATAATTGTGCGCAAAAATAATTAAATTCACTTCAAAAGTTTTCGCGAGTATATTAACATACGCAATAGTGATATACGAAAGAAATAAAATTAACATTAAAAGGGTCAAAAGTTTGGAGCACTCTCTTGCCCAAATGTTGGGAAATTATTTCCCAGATTATGGTTAGCCCCTATGTTTTTGGGGTTAAAAATGCAAATCATAAAAAAAAAGATACCAACAAGTCTGCTTGAAATCAAGCGATTATGTAAGATTGAGGATGCACTTGTTTTTTCGGTGGCGCCATCTATAGCCAAGAATATGACATTACGATACACATACGTCACAACCTGTTTCATTTGCTTTTCATCCGTTTGCAGATCGTATTTTTGACCTGAACCAGAGAACGAACAATCTCTTATTCAGTATTGATCTGTCATGGGAATTTGGAGGACTTTGTGACCTCGAAAGATTTAACGTGCACCAATCATCATTTAATACACTGAATTCGCACTCCCGTTCTCATGAACATGAGTCCAACGTCCTACCCATCAGGCTATCCCGGCCTAAACCGGGTGTTTTCTTACTAATTATTTAAACCTCATATTCAAATATATTCTTGAAGACACTGGGATATTCCAAGTATTATTGATATTATTAAAATGAGTTTAATGCCTTTGATTTCTATTTAATAGCATCCCACTTTTTAAAGTAATCTGATTGAATCTATTTGATCTGAAATAAACGTCGAGGAATAAACAATATCTCGTGGAATCAGATTTTCCAATAATATAATCAAAATAAATTAGATAACCTGATTTCAAGGGATGCTGCCAAGTTTATTTCCAATCTTTTTTCTTTTGAATTATTCACAGGTAAAGGAAGATGCTTCCCTTTTTGTTGGGATTAAACAATATTCGTGGTTCGAGTTGCCATGCTGGGACAAATCGTCAAGGAGAAGTTAATGGCTTCAACTACGAGACATTATTCGACACCTTTTGTTCTTGCTTTAACGATGAGAGAGGGGGGGGGGTTCAAAATCTTAAGTAGGAGTCTCGATTATTTCATTGAAGGTTTAAATTCTACAGAAAAAGGATCTCCCGTTTCTCCTGGGTTAGGTTCGATTAGGTATCACCGACAATCACTTCGCTGACAGATCATATTACCGAAGCCAAATCGCCAGCACGATCATTTTGCTGACATACGACAGAATCATTCCGTTCTTAATTTTTTGAAATGTTAGATTCTATACTTTTCACACGTGAAAGCGGAGCATTACATTAGCTAAATAATACGGCACCCCATTATACCTTTCATTCCATTACAACGACCCATGCATAAAGTCCAGTTGGCTATTTCATAAAGAAATTATTTAAACCATTATTTCTTTTGACGTTATCACACAATAAATGTAAAATACTTTTAAATCTCTTTGATAGAAGGAATGACCCATAATTCTTATCTGAAGTCCAAGGTGGTCGTAATTTATGTTCATTCTTTTCAAAAGATGCAATCAACCATACTTTTCCTGTTAACCTTTCTTTTTATCAGTTCCCTTGCGTAGTTTATTTTCGAATTAAAACCTGTATTCTTTGCAGTTACTTCAAAGTATCCAAAATGGCATTCCCATACGAGCATGTACATCTTCCTGCAATTGAAACGAGCATCTTCGATTTCTTCGGACCCATTTAATCGCTATTCAATAGTGACCGGAATTCAATAGTAATCGCTATTCAATAGTAATTCAATTGTAACATTAGGCCCCTATCATTGTAAAAGGATTGCCCATCAAAAAAACTTATCTCTTTTGGCTATTTAGATATTTAAACTTATCTCACGTATGCTATATTCGTTTTCCACCAATGAAAACATTCCTATGTTTTTTCTCAACTATGGGATTGGGGAGAAATTTTAACTGTGTTATTCAAATTTGCGTCTGTTACGATATTGTCATCGTTATTTGTGTCTGCAATCATCTAAAATATCACTTGAACTCTTTAATAAATGTTTCAAAGTATATTAATAATATTTTTTAAAAAAATAGAATTGAATAATCAGTTTGATTTAGAATAATTATTTTAAACGTTTTTGTATGCAACAATGATGAGATTTCAATTTTAAGATTCTTTTTATTAAACGTTTTAAGCTCTTAAAATTGCATGTTTCAAATTCTTAAAATATGATAAAAGTACTTTCAAACATTTGCTTTAGATAATAATTAATAATTTCCATTTTTTTTTTTACAATTTTAGAATACTTAAGCATCAGAAACTACACCCATCTAACCTTATCATAAAACGTAAGCACATATCAATAATAATTGTAATAAGATAATATAGTCGCAATTACTTTGTATAAAATGATACTATTATCAAGTATTGGCAATTTAATTTCAAAAGTAACAAGTAAAAAAAAAATGAAAAGCAACTACTGGTAAAGATCGAATCGCAGTTTTGGATTTAAATCCCGAAATTACTTTATTAATGTTAATAAATTCTAAAAAAACTGCATTCCTTCATTTAAATTATACCACTGTTCAATTAGCTCATTCAATTCTATTCATTGTTCAATATAAAATTGTCACAGAGTAAATTTATAGATCATCCTGACTCTCCGGTTTCTCCACACCATTACAGACACTTTATGATTGGTTAGAAATAGTTTAATCGAAGTCACGCTATCTTGTTGGTCACGGGACAAAAAACGCTGGTAACATTACAGTTGAATCAGGAAGCATACATTTTTTTCGAATAAATCGAGCAGAAACTGGTAGTTCGATAAAATTTTGTTTCAGATGCATAAGTGTCTTCATACATTTTTCAGCCATGAACAGTAACTCTTGCGAAACGGAGTGTGTCAATATTAAAAAAAAAAGTTGCCTTGCTACCAATTCTTCTGTAAGTTGCTAAATACGTATTTAAGTAAAACGTTGCTTTGTCGAAATTGGTAAAATATTTCTTAAAGCTATGAGTTAATATTTTTGTGCACTCACACTATAACAAATTCATATTATAGCGTCCATTTTCGACCGGACATCGAGAGTTTTCTGTAATTTCAATGACGTCAAGCTTGATCGTCGCGATCCTAGATCACAATTTTAATTTAAAAGAACAGCAGAAAAGCCTCACTTTTTCAAGGAACAATTTTACATCCAACTCTTTAAAGACTGTGTAGGTATGTTCCGAAATTTTGCACTCTAGAACAAACCGACGGATGAATAGTTTAAACATATGTGGCCAATAATATATATATATATTTAAAGAGTTATACTTACAGTATCAAGGAGATCGACATACTTGCTCAGATAGAATGACCACATTATTCTGTATATGTTCTGAAAAGATAAAAGAAAAAAAAAACTAAATCCACAATGTTTCCTTTTCCATACATCTTAATGAAATTTAAACTGGGATATATACTTCAGTACATGATTCTGTAATATTGTTAGTTTCAATTTTATTGAAAAAATTGTATTAAAAACACGAAAAGTAAAATGTGAGCCGGCTGCCCGCTTCCCAATGATGTGAACTGGGTTTAAATTCCAGCGATGGTGGGTCGATACGAATTCCGCACCCGGCTCGCACCGACCACAGTGCTGACGTAAAGTATCCTGAGTGGTAGACGGATCATGGGTTAGAGTCCCTTTGCCGTTAGGCTATTCGTGTGAGGTTTACATAGTTTTCCTCTCCATGTAACACAAATGCGTGCTAGTTCCATCAAAAAGTTCTCCTCGAAGGAAAATTTCTCGAAGCCCCCAGTTCTATCATCAAGTATTCGAAACTAAACTGAAAGTGAATTGTTCCCAACGGACAGTAAGGAGCATGGGAAGTGATCCATGGTTGGCGATTTATCGAAGGATATCATAGCCAAAAATAAAAAAAAAACCTTTAATCAATATTAAATTTAATAATAATTTGACTGTGGCAAATCGCCATAATACTATGAGAAATAGTATAACCCTGTAACTGAAACATTTTTGTGGTAAGAAATAAAGAGTTATAAATAGATTTTGATGATTGATTTAGTCACAGACAGTGAAATAAAGAGTTTTACTTTGTAATGAAATAAAAAGTTAGCCGTTACATTGATTGTGAAGGAAAGAATGAAATATTTATTAGTTTTTCACAAAAAGGTAATAAAATTAAATAATTGGTTTAATTTAAATAAAATTCTATTAAGAATAATTTAAAGAAATTTTAGAAGATGGAAAATATGGAATACCTATGATGGCATCACACTATTATATAATATTAAAATATGTTAATTTTGTGGTTGGTCACTTTCTTGTTTTTGGTTCAGATTGATTCTCAGCAAAAAAGAAATTTGGTTTGTTTCTACAATTTTAGCTCCAATGGTAAGCGTTGGTAATTCCTAGCTAATCACAATATTTACATGACCTATAGATAACTAATGAGGCAAAATGATTTGTGTGTTGCTTATTTGCATTAAATCTGTCACGTTTCCTTATCAAATTTAGGTCTATTTTGTGATTGTTGGTGGAAATTTTGACTAAATTTTTACTTGATCAGAAAAAATTTTGATTTTATAGAGGATAATTATTTTGATTAACTGAGTTGCTGATAAATGGCTCTCAATTTTGATACTGATGAATTTTTTTTGTCTATACCCATTGCAATTTGGTTCTTTATGTGTATTTCTATTTTGAGGTAAGAATTTTAATTTTAGAAAAAAATGATTATGGGAATTTTGAGTTCTTTCAGAACAAAAAGAGTTGTGGCGTAACTACCACTACTATTATTAAACTTCAATTCACTAGTATATAAAGCATGCTAATTCAATGCCATTATGAGTACCTCTTTAAAGATGAAGATTGACATAGTCGAAAGATTTTTTTCCCACTTTGGTAACCTGCGATCGTGATTAGATCACGCCTACTTCGATGGATGTATTACGTAGAACAGCTGACTTTCTATTTGTGACTACATCATCGTCCTCCTCGCTCTGTAGCATCTCTACCCAGATGCAGTCAACTCAGATCCCAAGCTTCAGATGGAGACGTAAAAGGCCTCGGACAATACATGATGATGTAGCATCTCAGTACCATTTACATACAACATACACTCGTCTGCTAGTAGTAACATAGGACAGTTAACACACACCACCTTGAATTTAATACAGCTCTTACGACAAACTCTTAGAATGCGATCGAATTCTATCCCAGATAAAATTCTGGTGGGGAGTATTTTATTGTAATTATTAAACATCCATCAATTGACTAGTATAAACGACGTGCTAACTCGTTTCAATTTTGGGGTAACTTTTATAGATGATGGTGGACATTGTTTAACTCAACTCCCCGCTGAGTCTCTTAATTTGTGAGGATATTCCCAAGGACAAACCCTAAATTATCTGTCTGTTGCTTAAATTTATTTTTCGTCCCAACTCAATCTTTTCAGCAAAATACGAGAATTAAAGAATAAATTCTTCGGTTAATTAATTAATTAATCGGAAAAATTTCTACTATTTCCGAGAAATAATTACAATAACAAACAACAGTTAATAAATAATTTCAGAGCCGATCCCCGAATTAATTTTTGAAAATTTTTATTTTTCCACTCATCCTTTAATTTAGAATCCCCAGTTTGTTTCTAAAAATGTTTGAGTCAGACTGTGAACTGAATGTCAGACATTTATTTGATCAGTTTTTCTTCTACTTTGAACTTCATTTAAATGTTGAAAATTTGTATCATTTTTCGAGTTTAATATTATACTTTATGGAACTTTTTGAGGAATCAATATTAGTTGGAGGGGGGGGGGGGCGTTTTAAAAAATTTTCAGTGTTATCCATTTTTGATTTGTAGTCCTTGTTTCTTCTTAAGAACATTAAAAATAGATTATTAGATATTAAATTCATAAGAAGATTTTTTGAAATATTTATTGTAATAAAAAATTGGATCCTCTCAAAATATTTTAACAACAAATAATACTTTATTTTGTAACGAATTTCTAATATCCCTGCAGTCTTATTTATACTCGATTTATTGTAAACATGAACCAAACAAGCATTGTAAATTATTTCAAACACTGTGCAAAATGTCTGAAAATCTTATGTTAATATTATTTACAAAAGAAAATTTAAAAATAAAATAAATAAATAAACCATGATGTATTTTAATAATTGTTCAATTGATCACATTGATGATTTTTTACACACCCGAATCATCTAATTACTTGATTTGAAATCAGTAACATTAATATCACAATAATTCATAAATTTAAAAGAATTACTATTATGAAACTAAGATTTTCTTTATCATTGAAGGATTAAATTTTTATCTTGATGAATATTCTAAAACAAAAAGAAATTGTAACCACTCATATGCTAAATTGTCTTTTTATCTGTTAGAAAAAGTTGTGAAAAAAACCGAACAACTTTAGCAGTTCAGCGCAAACTAGCACATCCCCCCCCCCTCCTATTTTCACGGTAACTGCAAATCTCTTATTCAGTATATTCCTACTTCTTACTGAAATGTGGGGAAAAGGCAAGATTTTTCCCTTAACCATGCTAACAGAAAGGGGAAAAGAGTGGTATGAACTTTTTGAGACGTTTTTCCGATTTATTATTATATTATTTCTCCTATTTATGTTGCGATAAGGGGAAATTCAATTTATAGATTAAAAGCATACATACATTGTAGTATTCGTCAGTCGTATTCACTGAACATAACCTCCCTTCTTTTACGGCGCCGTACAGATAGCTGAAAATCTAAAATTAAAAAGAAAGAAACAATTCATTTTAAAAAAAGTATGATTATTAAACTCTTTTAAGCATTTAAATCATTTTATGAATTCTTGAAATTGATACAAATCTACTAAAACAAACATTACATGCAATCAGTTGCAAAAGTTGATGTGCGTATGCATTAAATTTTAATAAAAAATACCATTTATAACCACCTATCAAAAATTAATGTTCATAGATAACACCAACAGCTTTCAAAAATCGTATTATTTATTTTAACACGGCAAAGGATTACAACCCCATATCGATATAAATCTCCTACGATAGTTTTTTTTTTTGGATGGCTTTGTTCTCTCTCTGAACATTTTGTAGTACCCAAAATCTCCGCATATCATCCTAAAAGGACTTTATAATTTGAAAAATCTAGTGAAAATATATTTAAGCAATGAATCAATAAAGAAGGTAACGTTAATAATATGACTTATATTTTATTTTATTGTTAACTAGCTGTACCCGTTCACACGTTGCTGTGTTTGAACGAAAAGGCAGCTTTGATACCTCAAACATAATTTATTAATGATCAAATGTATACAATACATGAAAATTAACAATAAAAATATCTCTACATATATGTCATTTGAATATAACATATGTACAAAACATAGATATACATAGTTAATGGTAGAATAAACATGCTTCTTCACTTGTGATATTAAACAATATTGCAAACGAATTTCAATTGAACAATGATTTCGTAATTATTAAATATCATCATGAAATGAATGATATTTGATGATTGATGGTGAACTTTATATTAGTAGTGCTTGTAAATATACAAAATTTTTTGCTTTCCCATCTGGGGCAAGAGCAAATAAATTTGATGGTTTTCCAACTTGTGAACACGCAGCGTACAGCTGTCCGTGTGAGAAGGACGGATTTATCAAATTACATCCACATACTTGCAATGATTGTCCCTGTGCTTTGTTAATGGTCATTGCAAAGGCTAGTCGAACAGGAAATTGTAGACGTTTGAATTCAAATGGAGTATCTGTTGGTATCATGGGAATGCGTGGTAGTAGTTCATGTTCCCCTTGGTGTTTTCCATTTAAAATGGTTGCCTCAATTATGTTATTCATTAATTTTTTACTGATAGCCTAGTCCTATAGCATAGTCGCGGTGGATTTATATTTCGTAGAAGGATGATTGGGGAACCAATTTTCAAAGATAAAATATGCGGTGGCATTCCTGGTAGATCCAATTGATTATTTTTATAATTCTGCGATAAATTTGGAAAAACTTTGGCAATCAATGCATCAGTGGATTTTACAACGTGACAAAAGTTTTCTGGTAATATAATACAAAGTGTGGATTCGTCCATTTCCATTTTACCATTCCCAATATCTAACAATTGTTTTGCAAATCGTTCAGAAGATTCATCTTGTTGTATTTGAACTCGCATATTGGTCTTTAAAGATATTTTCTCCACATACCGCCATAACACTGATGATTTGCACATGCATTCATGCATTGAGACATGCATTCAATTCATCTGCAGGTGTTGAATGTGGTATAACTGGTAGAGTTTGTCTAAAATCGCCAGCTAGCAAAATGAGTGCACCACCAAGGAGCTGCTCATTTCCTCTCAAATTTTTTAATGTGCGATTGAGTTCTTTCAATGATTTCTTGTGTGCCATGGTGCATTTATCCCATATTATAAGCTGACATGATCTTAGTACTTTTCCCATCCCAGAATCTTTGCTAATATTACATGTTGGAGTTTCAATTACCTGCATATTTAATGGCAATTTCAGTGCTGAATGTGCTGTTCGATCCACATCCAAAAGAGTTGCTGCAATGCCAGATGATGCTATAGCAAGTGCAATATTATTTTGTGATCTTATAGTCGCCAGAATTATTGAAATAAGAAATGTTTTGCCAGTACCTCCAAGTGCATCTAAGAAATGTAAACCACAACTCCTGTTATATATTGTATTTATGATTGTGCCATATGCTGTTCGTTGTTCTAATACCAATTTCGGCGGATTAATTCGAACAAATGTTTGTAATTCATTAACATTGAAGGGCGTTTCTCGTTGTATATCACGATCGAAAATGTCATTACCAGATCTATTTGAGCAATCATTCCGAATTCTGTCAGTGATTTGTTAGCTATTGTCAAACATACATTCTCAATTAAAATCAATGCTTTATTGTATAGTATATTTGTTGTAAATTGAATGTTGGGATAAGCATTTATTCTACGCATGCGATGTAAAATGTCTTCACTAATATAGTCTTTATATTTTCTCCAAAGATCCTTTGGATTAGACGGAAAACATTTAGTTAGTATGATGGAAAATAGTGTGCGTATCTACTGTGGTTGAACTGTATTAGAAGCATCAGCGAGTGAAATATCCCAATGAACATCGTTTTCTAAGAGACTTAATTTCTGGAAAGCCTCACGAAATGTAGACCACACATGGACCATTAACTGTTTTTAATGCTTGGAAAGATGTTGGTCCACGAACATTGATTAATAATAGTCTTAGGTAAAAGCATTCTGCGTTATTTGGATGTACAGTGTACAGACGACCCAATGCATCTGTGGAATGTAAATTTAGATGGCCTTGTACTGCTCTACCTTGTTTACGACACTGAAATTTTCTTGTTGATGTATTCCACGTAAAATAAGTAGGCACTTCAGAGTACAGTAGTGTCCTTGCAAAGGTATAATTTCTACGTAATGTGAAAAATACAGTTAATGTTTGCTGGCGGTGGTGACATTGCTCTTGCACGTACATTTTCTGATGTAAAATACACACTCTGTCCATTTTCAAGATGTACTGCTAAATGAACAACCGTTGGATATCACTCATGAATGGAAAATGATAAAATACGCCATACAGCCTCATTGCTACTTATGTAGCGTCCCAGTTGATATTGGGTGACTTCATCATTAGAAGCAGTTATATTTTCCACTGCATACACTGCCATGTCACTTCCTTTGTTTACATATTTGCAAATATATTTTATAGCTTTCACTGAATTGCAGTACTCAACATTTATGTGTGCGTTATACGTTTTTAGTAGTAATGGAGAATATGGTACTACCCAACGATTATCAACATCAATAGTATTGTTGAGTACTTCTAGTATAATGGATTTTCCACCATCTTCGGTAGATCGTCGTCGATAGAGTGGATATCCATCATTGCCTGTAATAGTTTCAGCAAGTAAGTGTCTATGATACTGCTTTGTGCACTTTCCATCTGACATGCATGGTGAAATATTATTTAGTGAGCCACATGGACCATGAATCATATTTTTTGAGACAATATCGTGCAAGTCTTTATCAATTTCAATGTCTGGTATTTCTGCAGAGATGACTTCATCAATTCTGTTTGGTGTTATCTTTTGTACATCCCTATTAAAATATGCGCATGTGGTAAACCTCTTTTTTGCCATTCAATGGAATACATCCAACAGCGTTTCTCTCCAAATACATGGTGTTTGACAATAAAATTTATAAAAGATTTTAATTTTTGTTTAAACACACGTGCAGAAATATCATGACGATCTGATGGTGATTGTCCAGTTAATAAAAGCTCCTTTATTTCATCCCATGCTGGGTTGCATGTAAATGTGATGAAAAAATCTGTACTACCAAATGCACTAGCATACGTCATTGCATCTTGTGCATATTCATGCATGTGTCTTGGGCTGCCTGTAAATGTGGATGGTAAAATGACCATTTTTTCAAATTCACTGAGATTGCCACCATTTACAACTGCATCGCGTAAATGGATGTACTCTTCAGAACGCAATTTGACTTGATTTAGTCGTATGTAGAGGAATCTTTCACTTTCTATCTTTGCATACATGTCAACAATGTATTGATGAAATAATTGTCCACATTTCAATATATGATTATCAGCATTCTCACGAATCATCGTTCGATAACTGACCCTTTTGTTAATGTCCACATTAGTTGTAGGATTTCTCATATTAATATTAAAATGATATCCATCCTCTCCTTGCCAAAATAGAATGGGATATTGTAATGCATCATATGAACTATGCGTTTCTGATACTTTCTGGACGTCACCATTTCCACGATGAAGAATTATGTCGCGAGAATTAAATTCTTCACCAACTATGACAATTGCCACTTCATCGATCGTTGGTGCGTTGAATTGTCTTCGATGTTTATCAATAGGTGTTTTAATTATCTGCCTTTATTATTACTTTGTAATCGTCAGATGGCATTTGTTCAATGGCAGTTTTAAATAATTTAATTAATTCATTATGTTGTTCAAAAAAGTTTTGTAATTCAGCGACAATCTCTTGTTTAGTACTCATATTCAGTTGACTCTGTCTGTTGATTTGTTCGTCAGTATTTCCCATAAAATATATCTGAAGATATTTGTGAACAACATTTGATAAGGGTAGTAGTGATCCAGCATGGTGATAAATTTGCCCTTGTACTTTAAATGTTGGCATATAATTTGCGCTAACGATATTCGTTGCTCCGAACGATGTCATTTGGAAGCATGGATTGTACTTGCGTATAGTTTTCAAAAAAATTTTCTTTGACTTGTTTCACCTGATACTAAAGTTAGTAATGGTTCAGGTGGTGAACGCAAGTCTGGTAACTTTACTTTTCCACCTGCACAGCACATACCTGGTGTTTCATTCTTAAATTTTAGAGCACCACAATACGTACACATTTTATCAATTTTTCCAATAATTACACTTGGATGAAGACTGTAATTGTAATGGGGATTGTAATTGAAACCACACAAATTCTAATCAGTATGTATCGTTCATCTGTGTCCCGCGAATTCGATTCCTTTGCTGACTCTGCTCACTCGTTTGTAATGATCGAGCTAGAGCAATGTGAATTCGTTCTCTTTCTTGCCTAGCTTGTCTCTGCTCACTTGTTTCTGAAGATCGTTCTTCTCTTCTCCTTTTTGCTTGATTTGTAGATCGACCAATGGCACTTCGCTTTGGTGGCATAATTGAGG